ATCGTAAAGAGAGATCTGCTGGCGGCTCTCGACGCCTGCCGCGTCGCCGATTTTGTCGTCTTCATTCTGTCGGCGCACGAAGAGGTCGACGCAGAGGGCGAGCTGATCATGAAGTCGGTCGAAAGCCAGGGTATTTCAAACACCTTTACCGTGGTGCAAGGATTGGACAAGGTCGAGCCCGCCAAGGCCAGGCCTTCAGTCGTTTCGTCGCTCAAGTCGTACATCACCCACTGGCTACCCGCGACCGAGCGCGTCTACTCTCTCGACAACCGCCAAGAAGCCGCAAACCTCGTCCGATCGCTATGCACGACTACCACAAAGGGTGTCAGGTGGAGGGATCAGAGGAGCTACATGTTCGTTGAGGATATCGCGTGGCCTGGAGGCAAGTCGGCTGTTAACGCAGACGGCACTGGTGATGTTGTCATTACCGGTGTTGTGCGCGGGCTTGGGTTGAAGGCCGACAGGCTGGTACAAGTGGGAGACTGGGGTGACTTCCAGGTCGACAAGATCGTAGCCGCTCCACTAGAATCGAGGAAGAAGCACAAAGAAGAAGAGATGGCTGTTGACACAGAAGGCGACGGCATCCTGGAGCGTCCCACAGAAGACCAGGACGACCTAGCAGATCTCGCACCAGAGGAAACAATCATGGACGACGTGACCAACTACGCCACATCTATTGCGCCCTCTGAGCGCAAGGGTGTCTTACTAGACGATCACCACTATTTCTCAGACGAGGAGGAAGAGGTCGCGCCCGCCAAAAAGAGGCGGTTACCAAAGGGCACAAGTGAATACCAGTCCGCATGGTATCTCGACGACATGTCTGACTCGGGCTCGGATCTGGAAGATTTCGACGACATGGAAGTTGACGAAGACGCCCAGAGCCAGCCTGCGCACCCTGCAGATGGTGTAGAGGGAATGGATGTCGATGGCAAAGCGATGACCGAGGGCGCTCCTTCAGAATACCCGCAATCGGAGATGTTCCTAGATCCATCACCAGAGGACGAGGCTGCACAGATCGAGGAGTACCGGAAGTCTAGGAAGACAGAAGAGGACGAAGATCTCGAGTTCCCTGACGAAATCGAACTACACCCCAATGTGAATGCGCGAGAGCGCCTTATTCGCTACCGAGGACTGAAGAGTCTGAGAAACAGCACATGGGAGACAGAAGAGGATCGCCCATACGAGCCAGAGGAGTGGCAGCGGCTGCTCGACATTTCCGACTACAAGCGCACAGCGACCAAGTTCATGCGCGAAGCCTGGGCTGGCGGTGTCAAGCCCGGAACTCGGGTCAGCGTTCACATTCGCGGTGTCCCGCTACAATTCCAGGAGACGCAGTCACGACCAATGGCCATGTTCTCACTCCTGAGACACGAGCACAAGCGCACAGCCGCCAACTACAGCATACTGCTCAGCTCTGAGCATGAGGGTCCGATCAAGTCGAAGACTGAGATGATCGTGCAGTGCGGACCAAGGAGGATAGTAATCAACCCTGTAAGTCACCTTAAGCCTCTATTCTATCCCTCAATACTAACAGCATCCAGCTCTTCTCCCACGCCGGCAACACACCGAACAATGTGCACAAGTTCTCTCGCTTCCTTCACCCCGGCCAATCGGCCATTGCATCTTTCATCGGACCTCTAACCTGGGGCAACGTCCCACTCCTCTACTTCACTCGCACAACCCCCTCTCCCGACCATCCCTCCTCCCTTCGACTAATCGCGACCGGAACATCGCTCCCACCCTCCACCAACCGCATCATCGCGAAGCGCATCATCCTGACAGGCCACCCCTACAAGATCAACAAGCGCGTCGTCACAGTGCGCTACATGTTCTTTAACGACGGCGACGTCAAGTGGTTCAAGAGCTTACCGCTGTGGACGAAGCGCGGAAGGAGCGGTTTCATCAAGGAGAGTCTGGGTACGCACGGATACTTCAAGGCTACTTTCGATGGCAAGATCAGTCCTATGGACGCTGTTGCTGTTAGTTTGTACAAGAGGGTTTATCCTAGGGGGGCGAGAGCGTGGAGGGGTGAACTGGAGCAGGCAGCTGAGATGGAACAAGTTGCTTAGAGGGTTACGACGCGTCAATGACTTTTATGATATCATGGGGTTTTAGATAGGCTAAAATGGGTATGGAGTTTGTTGTTCATCTTTTACGAATAGAGTATCTGAGCCTATACCCGTTCAACAGATCCGTGAAGTAAACGCCGTGAAATGCTTATACGAAGGATGCTTTTCACCGCCAACGCCAACATGAAGTCTGAAACAGCATCAAGCCAATTCTTCCCAGACTCACTTCCTCGCAAACCTCTCAAGCGCCGGTCCATAATCCTTCTTCAACCTCTCCTTCCTCTCAATCTGCCTCTTCTGCATATTCTTCAACGCCTCCCTCGCCCTCTCCTTCTCCTCATCAACCACATTCTTCGTCCCGCTCTTCCTCAAATACCTCCTGAGCGCCGAATTCCTGCCCTTCCCCCTCTTCTTCAACATATCCACCTTATCCGGCTCCTTCTCGCCCCTCGCAGCGCGGTATTCGCGTTGCCGCTCTTCATTAGACGCGAGATCGAGGTTACCGACGAAATTGGGGTCGAGCGCAATCATCTCGGGTTGGATCTTCTCAAGCAGGGCGTGTACTTCTGTTTCGCGGCGCTGCTTGGAGGTTTCGTAGGGGTTGGTGCCGGGCTCGAGGGTGTCCGGGTTGGCTTCTCCGGCGCCGGGCACGATGATGGAGGAGAAGCCTTTGTCGTGCGATATGCCGAGGACGTCTTCGAAGGGGCAGAAGCGCACGCGGCTGACGTTTAGGCCTTCGCCGCCCCAGCCCATGTATGGCATGATGGGGGCTGCGGCGTCCTCGGGGTTGCGGCGGAAGATGTCGTCTTTGTAGATGGAGGTCTGTGTGCCGTAGCCGACGGCTGTGAGGTTGCGGTCAGAGATGGAGAGGGTGGTGCCCGGGACGCGGAGGTGGGTTTGGTACATCTCTTTGAACATGCGGACGTCCCAGACGGACATGCGTCGGTCTTGCGATGTGCTGACCATGTATGTTCCTGATCTGTCGACTGCGATGCTTCGGACGGGGCCCCGGTGTGGGAGGAGTTTGACGAGAGGCGTGGCGCTGTTGGGCGACCAGAGGGTTACGAGACCTTTTTGGTGACCGACGTGCAGGATGGCGTTGTGTGGGTTCTGTGCGAAAGCTGTCGCGGGACCGAGCTTGGTGTATAGTTGTGGTAGTGACTGTCCGGTTGAGACATCGGTGTATCGTATTATACCCGCGGTCGATACCGAGGCGAGAAGGAAGTGGTAGGGGAGGTATTCGAGGTGTGTGGCTTCAGAGTGGTTCTTGAGCTTGTGCATCTCCACGCCGTCGCCCGAGTAGATGTAGACACAGTTCTTCTGCGCGACCGCAAAGTTCTTCTGGTTGCTCGTATGCAGCCATCGCGCGTCTCGCACCGTCTCGTTGAGTTGAAGTTCGCAGCCGACCTTTCCGTCTCGCCAGTCAAATGTCGCGACATGTCCTTTCCTGCCGGCGATCAACAAGTCACGGCCGTTGCGACTGTACTCGCATACGTCGTAAGGACCCAGACCGTCTAACTTCAACTCGAAGCCCTTCTTTGCTGTCTCCAGACCAACTTCCCGCTTGATGTCGTCTTGTCGCACCTTGTATGTCCTCTCCAGCTCATTTTCAGTTTCCAACAGTCCTGGGTTGTTCTCGAGCAGAACTTCGACATTCTTCGCTTCTATCGCCGCCTGCTTGTTCTTCGTCTCAAGCGATGTGATGTTTCTCCGCAGCTTCTTGTCCTTGACTGTTTTGGGCCGTATGCGGTCGCCGCGCCCATATTGTTTTGTGGCTGATTCGGTGAATTCGGCGATCGCGCGGGTGTCTTCGTCGTCTATGGGCGCTGCGTTTTGCGACTTGCGCCGCGGTTGCGCTGTGCTGGGCTTGGAGCCGCGTTCGGTGGCCATAATGCAGTTGCGATGGCTGACAGCCTTTTGTGACAGTGAGCAACTTGATTCGCTTCGTAAGCTAGTTTTGTGACTGGGGAATCCACTGCATGTATTCGCTGAGAGTGTATGCGCAAAAGGTTCCTGGTCGCGAATGCCCCAATCCTAGAATTATTTCTGCCGGCGCTCACCGCTTCGAAATCTTGGCGACACTAATGATGCACAACCCAAACTCCACGCCTCTCTCACCATCGCTAAACTTCTGTCTCGCTGACTTCACGTGCAATTCAACACCATCTCCGCTGATATCCGTCGAAGTCCTCAGACCGGGGTGATCTAGATTATCTTGATTAGGCTTTGCAAGCGGTAGCATCTCAGCGTGGCATTCACCTTGTGGCATCCGCACGAGAGTTGCGTTTGTGTGCCGACATCCTTCTTTTCGGGGTTACCAAGGGTCGTACTGGAGGTAGAGGTGGCGTTGGAACCGAATGTACCCTTGGTCTGTTTATCGGTGCTTGATGTAAGGTCCATCGCCTCGGCATTGCTCGACGTTTGAAGCTGAGGCAATGGTTGAGCTTGAGCTTGAGCCTGAGCCTGAGCTTGTCGAAGCTGGTGCGCAGCCGCGCGAGCGCGGTCCTTAGCGTTTCTGGCTTCTGACGGCTTCCCAGATTGTCCTCTGCGACCCATTGTAGTAGTTAGAGAGGCCTTGGAGGATTACCGAGGAGGCTGAAGACGCTGAAGATGTAGAAGAGGTCTAGACAGCTCCGATGCTGTGTGCTCAGTGGGTATGCTCACGTGTGCGTATCGAACTCAAGATGACGGTTGCTCCTCAGGGCCGAGATCGCAACATCACATGCTACGCACGTGTTGGGCAGCTGCAGCTTCTCTCACTGGCTCCTGCCTTCACCTTGAGTTCGGCCCAAACGAACAACGCGTACCCTTAGGCTTCGCTTAGGCATCTCTCTCTTATTTCCACTGCCGTACAAGGTCTCTCATCAATCCCACTCCACTCTCTCTCGTTCTCATACTTCACATACTACTCTACAACACCAGTCGCCAATGATGGGAGGCCGCCGCAATGTGCACGCTTACAACCAGGACGAGATCGACAGGTAAGTACAGATAACGTTGACCGGAATTGCCAGCGACAGCATGACTGCTATTGAAACAACCCGGTCGCAGTCATATTTGACGCGCTCCTAACTACTTTTCCAGGCTCCAGGGTATCCCGCTTCCCATGAAGATCAAATGCGGCCGGTGCCACAAGAACCTCCCTCAAGTCAAGTATTCCACCAAGCAACTGACCGATGCGCGATACCAAATCAAGACCTCAAGCAAGATCACCAAGTCCATCAACTGCCACAGTTGCACTGGACAGCAGAAGGTCGAGATCGAGTGCACCATGTGTGGCAAGACAAAGGGCTTGGAGGAGTTCGCGAAGTCTCAGCGCGCCAAGCCCGACACTGCCAAATGCTTCAAGTGTGTTGAGGCTCAGCTCGCTGATGAGGCTGTCGATGAAGACCGCTATGTCGACCAAGACAGGGCCTTTCTTCCGCCCGACCACTCCCAGGGCCAGTTTCCCGAGTACTGGTCCGCAGCTACCAGTGAAACATCTTCTACTTATGTGAGTTTTCCATAAGGGCTCTCTGTGGCTGTCATACTGATCTGTATAGGGAGATGATGAGTGGAAGACTGTCAACGGCATCAATCGACGAACCGAGCGCAAGGATATTGAAGACGGAGGTATTGCGCTGTCGGCTGGCTTCCAGAAGGCCATGTCCATGAACGGTTCAGCAGAGGAGAGCCTCATCGAGACCGAATACTCCTTCCCAGCTGGCCACGGAAACGCCAACACTGACAGCTGGAGCGAGGTCCGCACCAAGTCCTGGCATACCCAGTCCAACGCCGCTCCCAGTGCAAGCTCAGGCTTCAATCCCAATGCCTATCGTCACTCGACTTCTTCCGTTACCGGCTCGTCCCACACCTTCACCTCTAGCGTGGCTGAGCGATCTGACACTTCGGAGATTCGTCCTAATGGATGGGCCAAGATTCGTGCTGTTCCTCGAGGTCCTCCTATGGTATGTTCAACGATGAATCCTTCAGATCTTGAGTCTTGGCAAAAACAATACTGACTATGCCATAGATGCCTATGGGTGATACTGTCCGACAGACAGGATCCACTGTCGATGCTTGGGACTCGGATGAGGAGGAAGACGAAGAAGACGAGGACGATGATGACAGTGACGACGACACAGTCATCTAGTCACTTGACCTCGGTATATGGAGATGACAGAGGTTGACAAGTATGCACAACGGACAAGATCCTGTTCTGCGAGGGGATGCGGGAGTTTGGATTGGATTGGCGTTTGATGTGTACTTGAATTATATGATTTAGCTGTGGTCATGACAGCGAATGGTCTACCACGTGCTGTCCCACCGGAGGGACGTACATAGGACTACAAAAGTTGAATTCCTGAATCGATAGCGTTATGGATAGCCCTATCGCGCGACTATGGTAACAGTGAAAGAAATGCCGTCAGGGGTAGACTAATCCGGAAAAAGCGACTAATTGCCACCACGTGATTGCGCGCCGTACCCCAACGCGCCTTCCTGTGCATGTCCCACCCCACCCACACCCAGCGCAGTCGCACCACCACGACTGTACCGCAACACTTTCTTTCAAATTACTTTCGTTCCAATCGCTCTTATAGTAGGAAATAGATACGGCCATCATGTAAGTCAAGTCTCGCTATCCGACTCGATGAGCGCGCAAGACTAATGAGTGGCGACAGGAGCGGACGACGACCTAGAGGCGCAGGCATTCGGGGACCGCACTCTGCCTTGACAGATTTTCTGGCCGTGAGTGACATATGTCCTGGGGACAAGCATGCCCAACATTCGAGACTTGCGACATGAAGATCGAAAGCGGCTGGGTTCTTGCTCGATAACGGTCGCGCAAACCTCAGTGGGTGATGCTTGAGAGAGACACTCGCTAACTTCTCATTTTCAGGCGAATAACATCTCTGCAGCAGAGATTCGCGATTCGTACGAACAGCGCCGTCAACAAGCCGAGCGAGACGCAGCAGAAGCAGGAGATAATGGCGAGGGACCTTCAAATGCCGGTGAAGATGACGAAGATGTCGAGGAGGACCTACAAGCCGAATCCTCCGCAATGGCAGCCGAGCGCACCCGCAAACGTAAACGCGACCAAGACGAGGCGATAGCGAAGATTAAGAAGGGCAAGGCGGCGAAGAAGGCATCCAAGAAGAAGAGCAAGAAGAAGGGCTCAGATGATGAATCCGACTTCGAAGATGTCATGGACATGTACAAGAAGGCGAAGCCACTCCCTGGCCAATTGGAGAACTGCGAAATTTGCGACAAGCGATTTACCGTCACACCCTACAGCAAAGCTGGTCCAGATGGTGGGCTCCTGTGTACACCGTGTGGAAAAGAGATGGTCAAAGATGCAAAGTCAGAGAAGAAATTGGCTAAGCCCGTTGTGCGAAAGGGTAGAAGGAAGATTGAGAGCAACCGCCTTGACGGTATGACACAGCGCGGACCCAAGACACTCCAACAACTGTGCATCGAGAAGCTCGCCAAACACTCAGAAGACATTGACGAACTGGGCGAGATGCCAGAGGGTATCATGAACCGGATCAGCGAGATCTTCTCAAAGAAGCGAGCGATGAACTCCAACACGATGAAGCTGTTCCTCCAGTCAGATATGCAGTCGATTGCAATTCACGAAGCGGCATATCTTGAGACCGAGGACTACGACCAGATCTTTGCTGTTTGCCCCAATGTCAAGCGTCTATCACTGCGCAACTGCTGCCAGTTTAAAGACAGCAACATTGACTACATGAACGAGAAGGCAAAGGCGTTGGAAGAGATACAACTGCTAGGAGCCAATCTTGTCTCGGACGACAAATGGATCGAACTCTTCATTGCTCGGGGCCAAGATCTCAAGTCGCTGAAAGTTGAGTGGTTAGACGCCGCGTTCGGCGACCACGTAGTTGAGGCACTCTCCACCTTTTGCCCCAACCTTGAACGCCTCAAGATTGAGCGCTGCAAGAAGATCGGCCCGGACAGCATCGACGCCATTGCACACCTGAAGCATCTGAAGCATCTCACACTCCGCTTCTACGACCCCATTACCCGCGAGAAGCTCGTCCATCTGGTCGATTCAGTTGGCGATAACCTCCGCACTCTGTGCCTAGAGCACTTCCTGGACAACACAACAGAGCCCACCGATGACGTCCTCGAAGCCATCCACAACAAATGTCACTATCTCAGCAAGTTCCGCTTCACAGAGAACAACGAATGCACCGACGCCGGCTACGTGAAGCTCTTCACCGACTGGACCAACCCACCGCTCCACTACATCGACGTCAGCTCAACCCGCGACCTAGACAACACGAACCCCGACGGACCCGAAGACGAGCCCATCGGCCTCGGATCCAACGGTTTCCGCGCCCTCATGGCCCATTCGGGCTCGCGCCTCGAATTCCTAGATATATCCTCCTGCCGCCACATCTCCCATACTACCTTTACAGAAATCTTCGACGGTAAGAAGGAATATCCTCATCTCCGCGAGATCAACCTCTCCTTCTGTCCCGTCGTCGACACTGAGATCGTCGCTGGTGTCTTCCGGTCCTGTCCCGCTATCAAAAAGGTGGTTACTTTTGGTTGCTTCCAGGTCGCTGACGTGGTGGTGCCGAGGGGTATCGTGTTGATCGGAGCGCCGAGGGCACAGGATCAGATTGAGCAGTTTGGTGAGGTGGTGTTGGATTATCAGAGGGAGAATGAGGAGAGCATGGGGCATATGCGTGCTATGGGGCGTATTGTGCCTGTTGTGGGTTAGATGGCGTCGAGATTCTCGCAGAGATGTGGGAGATGGGTTCTTCAAAAGCGGTGTTTGGGCGCATGTATGGTATGGCCTACTGCAGGATTTACGCGGTCATGGCTAGTGGACATCACAGCAGGCATTGGCTTTTTTTCGTTGGTTGTGTGCGACATGATTTAGATACATATAGATGTCGATAAGTACGCATAAGACTCTGCATTGAGTGTGCGCATGCGGATGCTGAATGCTAATAGATACATGATACATGATACTCCTCAAACGCGAGCATTCCCCTCGCGCTGACTCCTCGCTTGCCCAAATCGTTGAATGGTAATAAGTAACAGCGTAGCTACGTGTATGCTCAAGTCCAACGGATGAGCTGAGTGAGACATACCTTGCCCTCTGCGCCCTCAGCGTAGATATACTACCCCACTACTTTTGTCCCACTCATACCTTGCTCAACCAGATCATGAACCCAAATTGCACCACATAGCTATACACAAACAAAAACTGCGTCCTCCTCGACTTCTGACCCGTCTTGATATCCTGCGGATATCCCACGGGAGCAGGAGCCCCAAAGGCGTCTTGTGGTTTGTTGTCGGGCAACAGCACGTATTTAAGGCTCCTCAACAAGAAGAACGAGTTTGCGCTGAAGCAGTAAAGGAATATGACCCAGCCGACCCATGAGCTGCTGAAACCGATCCAATTGGCCAAGTTGGTGATGAGCAGCGATACGATGACATGGACGAACTTGTAGCCGCTGTATGCGACGAGATCGAGGAGCTGTGAGGAGCTGCTGATGGCGAGGAGGAAGGTGCCGGTTCGGATGATGAGGATCTCGAGTAAGGTGACTGCGATTGCGACGGTAGCGGTTTTGCCCAGGAGTTCGGGGTTGAAGGCGCCGCGTAGACCTGCGAATAGTGTTGACAGCAGGATGTAGGTCACCAGGGCCATGGTGGGTATGTACATGTCTGGTGAGTTGACGTCTTCTCGTGGAGGTTGGTATAGCAGTGCGGCGGAGGCTGATGGATCGGCAGTGTGTTGCCGTTGGCGCGACCAGGGACGGTGCCACCATGGGAAGAGGATGATGCGTAGTTTATTGAGGACGTAGGAGTTTGTGACGTTGAAGTAGTGCTTTAATGCGGACACTGAGACAAGGCGTCCTAGCTGGAATGTTGTCAGTAGTCTGTTCATGAACGGGAGGCCTGCGCTATGCCTTGTGGACATACGCTCTGTTCCATGTAGTGCTGCCCAGCGTCCACGGCGCTCTTTCCCATCTGGAACCCTAACTGAGCAGTGGGGTCGTTGATGAACCCGCCGAACGACGGGTGCACGCCATATCCGCCTTGCTGAGGCGGCATGCCACCTGCCTGTGATCCGTAGCCATAGCCGCTCTGGGGTTGTGAAGGGGGTTGCGGGGGAGGTGGTGACCGTAGCTGGGGGACTGTGGAAACGTGTTGTGGGACGGGGTGGTGTACTTGATGGAGTCAGTACACGGCATCTACAGGAGGCATGATGGAACGCGTCTTAATACGTACAAGGTGGTGAATGCGCCGGTGGTGGGTTGCCGTAGTTGGGGCGCTGCATGGCTGCGCGTCGGGACGATGGTCGGTGTAGCGAGTGCGGTGTCTAAGAGAATGAAAAAGACGAAGGAGCCAGAGTTTTGTGATGCGCAATTGGACACGTCGCCGTCAATGTTGGTTGAATTTCTGCCTTGAGCTGCGGTGTCGTTGGCACCTCCGAATTCCGACCATCTGGCAAGAGCGTGCACGGCCCGTCGTCATATCCCACATGTGCCCGCCGCACCACCACGTCTCCCTTCCGCAACCTTCCCGCCGCCTTTCACCCCCGCCATGTTGGATACCTTCGAGATATTGACTACTTCCGGCGTAGTTCTGTGGTCGCGCACATATGTCCCGGTCGGCGCAAACGTCATCAACAGTTTAATCCGGGATGTCTTCATCGAGGAGCGCGTGCAACCTCACGCCGAAGATGCTGGCGCCAAACCTACATACAAGAAGGAGGGATACACTCTGAAGTGGACGGCGGCGAAGGATCTTGGCCTCATCTTTGTAGTACGTACACTGTTCCCGTTGGGTCAAAGAGTCGAGACGGCACCACGGCGCAATGCGACGTAGATATGCGCAACAGCTGACTTTACCATAGGCCGTATATCAAAGTCTAGTACACCTAACATGGGTCGATAAGCTCCTCGACAACGTGCGCGCACTCTTCGTCGGCCTCTATGGTGAGCAGCTGAAGACGGAGCACAGCAGTGTGGTCAACTGCGACAAATTCGGCGCCTACTTCGACCGACAGATGCATGACTTGGAAGGTGCCAGCGACTCTGGCGCACCAAGTATCAAGCTCACCACTCCCGAATCGAGTACCGACAACGACAGCGCCGACGAAAGCGTGCC